TACAGTATTGCTGTATTAATAATGTATTTTATTGTAATTAACAAAAAGTTTGAACTAATGTTTCGATTCAATGATTGTTTGAGTAAAATAGTAGTAGTCCTCCATTTCATGGTATCCATCAAATTAAATGTTTCATTTTATAAATATTTATTTTAAAACAATCGCATGTACTGTATATGAATGTTGAATGTAATTGTAATCACTATTCGTAACCAATTTAATACAATAATGTTTTAAAACCTCAAGTCTACTGAAAGTATTCATGAAATAATTGAATATAGAGTTGCTGTCAGTGATGCCTATATGGCACCGGTAGAGGGACTCACAATTAGGTCTATTTATGTGCAACATTGAGCAGTGTAAAAATAAAGAGAGGGAACATTTAACTCGGGGGTGTAGCTCAGTGGTAGAGCGTCCGCTTCGCATGCGGAAGGCCCGGGGTTCGATCCCCCGCACCTCCACTTTTGCTTTTATTTCACTTTTTGCTTTTTAACACTTTGCTAAACTCAGTATTCACTTGGTATGCGATTTTTATATTTTTTAATCGTGCTTATTACATTTGTAGCATAGTCATTAATTTTACAATTAATGTTGCAATCTGTATTAGCAATATAATGCGCAAAATATGCCAGTATAGTTAGCATGGTCATATTTTTCGCGTAAATATGTATTGGTTTTAGGGCTAATCAATGCATACAATCGGAGAATATCTGCGAATATTGTGTTTAAACTTTAAAGTAATTTAAACTTTAATTGAATTGCACTTAAGTTATGATAGAAACCAATGCATGGGTTCATGGGTTGAGCCGTAATTGATGTTTGTTTACGGCTTTCAACACAATTTGAGTCACGATTGCGAAATGAGTAGTGATTTGAATGGTTTGATGGCATGAGTGGTGTGTTGTTTGCCATCCATTGTCATCGCGAGTGACCACCAGATGATCATATGAGCCACAAGTGGGTGTCGGAGCTGTTTGTGGGTGTGAGGGGTGGCAACAGGGCGTCCCTCTCGCGGGCCATCACAGTCGTCGAGTCGTCGAAACGGTCGGCGCAAAGACGACAACTCCTGAGACAAGTGAATGACCACATCGTGAGCACCCGACCCAAGACGTTACGGCTGGGCATCAGTGGAGGTCCCGGTGCCGGCAAATCCACATTCATCGAGGCGTTTGGCATGAATTTGATCGACAAGTACGACAAGAAGGTGGCGGTGCTCGCCATCGACCCCTCCTCTGCCATCAATGGCGGCTCCA